ATAAAATTTTTTGTTAAAAATCATAAATATGCTGAAAATCTCTTATACATGTGTGTATGTGTACACGCACATATTCAGATACCATAACAACCGTGCACTTTTCCCTTATATATTTGATCCTGATTATATATTTCAAGCCAAATTGTGTATTTCAGCTGAAACTAAGAATGAGGAGAATGATAAAACAAAGATAAGCTCGTCTTATCTCTCTATCCTTTACCAATTATGACTTGTTGGATTCCTACAACATGCAAGGCATTGTACAGTGCACTGAACATGTACAGGTCTGCACCTAAAACACTCTCAAGGAAACAGATGCCTTAGGAAGCAAAATACTCATCAATTTGAAAACCAGTTTCCTCAATAGGATTTCTAAAAGTTGAGAATGGTATTAATTAAAGTGAGATTTTCCCCATCTCCCCAAACATGGAAATGTAATACAGAAATCATTTCCACAGAACATACATAAGATAATGTTTATAACAAAGCCATAGGGACAAAGCAGCAAGATGAACAAGGCAGTCATGATATCTACTAGCTACTGTACTGGTAGTGGTTTATAAAAAAATACTATATATACTAAAATTTTAAGAGCTAGTACTATATGTAGCATATTTTTGCTGTTTCTTTTTTGCCACTGAATATAAAATTTTTGTCCTACGTTGACTAAATCTTTTTTACCCTGAGGAGTAACAAATGACTAAGAAAAGAAATGTGAGGGCTAGCTTTATGGATTGCAGCAGTGTCAGAAAGCACAAACTTTATATAGCTAATATTCTTGGAAGCACAATGTTTTTACCAGCAGACCAAGCTTCTGCCATATATATATATATATATATAATTTTATTTTTGTTTTTTTTTTAAGCAGAGAGTTTGGTTTTACAGTGTTAACATGGCTGGTTTGGTGACAGTAGAGAAGTCAAAAGCTGGTAGCCTGAGGTTCCCCTCCAACCCAGACCCACAATGGATGTGGATTCATTGGCTTTCTGTCTCCACTATGAACACAGAACATTGTTGCCCTTTAGGCTTTATATTATTCAAGAATTCTCTGTAAAGCACTTTGGAATCCTAACTATACATTTTAATGAAATTACAACAACTATCTGTTATCGTGAAATATGAAATTCCTATCCCTCCCCCTCCATATACAAATACATAAAATAATACATTTTGAATTTCATCTCAATTCTTACTTCTGATATTTAAAAAAAAAAAGTCTTATTTTCCCCCTGTTAACTATCCTACATCAAGCATGAATTTGGGAGGAAAGGAAGGTCTTTAGAGTAAGGCAACGGATTCATGTAGGACAACCATTCGAGAAGTGGAGTGTATAGCTCAGTGGTAGAGTGCTTGCTTAGTAGCATGTGCATGGTCCAGTCTTCAGCATCCCCACCCCCCAAAAAAGGGGGAGGGGGAGACATGCATGTGGTCTTTATTTTAAGATGGGGCGCCTGTTTCCCTTGAACACAGGCTGCACAGGTTTCAATTCCTGGTAGGGTGCTTAAAGATGATTAGTAATAAAATCTAATAGATTCATACCTTCTCATACCAGAATTTCACTGAAGGACAAAATACCCCTTGGGACTATGCCTTGTAATGGCAGTAAAATAATGAGTCATAATTAGCTGTTTGATAAAACTTCCACCCCGTTTCCTAACTAAACACTAGAGGTTCAATATGATATAAACTTGTTCACCAAAAAATAAGGAAAGCACTAACACAGTATGTACAGGTACTTTTTACAAGACACTGTGTGATATTAAGTACAATTCTTGAGGTGGATTTTTCTTGCTCACTACTTTCATGACAACAAATTTGCCTAAACTTTACAATGCCTCCACACACTTCTCTAATAAATAGGACCTTGTTACAGAGTGTGGGGAGCAGAAGCACATACAGTGCAAGGGTTTACAGTTCTGTTAGAGAAATTTATTCAAGAAAAAAGATTGTTTTTACAATGTTCAAAATTTAGCATATCTTAAATATTTTAAAAGTTTTAAAATATAATCTAGTAACAGAATAACACTGAACTTAAAACAGCTTTATGCAAAAAAATAAAAAAAAAAAAACTAAACCTTTAGCATCTTCTATAATTCAGGGAAGTTAAGGTAGAGATTGTTGTAGGGCAAGTGGTAGCTCCACTCCCAAATTGCATTTAGCCCATGTCAGATACCATCTTATGTTAGGAAAGAGAAAATTATAGGACTGACAATTTGTTGGCAGCAGGTATTACAAGTTTTTTACACACACACACACACACACACACACACACACACACACACACACACCCCAAGCATGAATTGAAATTAACTGAACATATTGAAATTACACAATGTCTACCATATATGCTTTTTATATACTGCTGCACAAAAAAATCAAAACCCTTTTCCCACATGTCACATTACACCTTATTTGAAGATTAAGTGACAATCTGTATACATTTAATTCTATGAATAATTAATGAAGCTGGGTTTCATCCCCAACACTGCCAAAAAAATTAATGAAGTCTTTAAATTAGAACTGTACTATAGAAATAAGAAATGTTATGGAAAGTCTGGGCCTAGAGCTTCTGAAGAGGTAACAGGGGATATGAAAAGGTATGAAATCCTTAAGCTTAAAAAAAAATGACTCACTAAAGGTCCACATTCAAGTCTGGGGGAAAAAGAAGCATAAAATGACTATCCATGCATAGACGTATCAATGAGTCACTGAAATCAAAGAATTACTTCAGTTACTCCACAGTGGCTCTGGCTCTATATGCAAGACCTGTTCTCTAACATCATAAAAGATCAGAAAGCAGTATTCTTAATGCAAGTAGGTTTCATTAACTCTGTGAATTTTTAATGTAGATTGGAGTACAGCTAACTGACAGTGTTAGAGCCGTATTTCTTGCCTGGGATTTAACAAGTTTAAGCAAGGTAATCAACTGAAGAAAACAAATCTAAATTAACTTATTCTATGTCTAATAGCTCTCCTTAAGTATAATTGAACTAGTTTACATCATTTATTCACAATCCATTAATTTTTCAATTATCACTCTACCATTCATGACCAATTTCCCTTCGCCAAACAATTAATCAGTCATGAATTTAATAAATAGTTAATGAGTCCTCACAATGTGCAAGAAACACAGTAGAATCTGGAAATACTGTATTACCAAAATAGGTATAGTTTAAACAAAGGTAAGGTGAGGGTTACGGGGTGACCATTCCAGATTTTACTGCTTTTTGCTTGTCGGTAGTTTTCTTGATCCACAGAATGGTATGATGACTTGTTATCCAGTAAAAGCCAGATGAGATGTGTATCAATCTAAACCATCTTTTCAACAATTACATATTTGTAGAAAAATAAGACTAACAAAACCCTGAAGTAGACATACGCTTCCTACTGCATGGACTCTTTTGGTCAAAGACATATTACTATGCTAGTGAGCTTAAATATCAACCACTTAGGAAAAAAACAACACAACCACATAGGGCAATTCTAAGCTTTCTTGTGAATGAACACCTGAAAAATGCAAATTTTAGAAATAAAATAGCCAACAAAAGTCATATACTCTTATCTTTTGGATATTTGTATTTTTACTACCAACTTAAAACTTTTTAGGAAGACTGGAGAGGAAGATACACTAAAAGACTGCATGGCTTCAGAAAGGCGTGGGTTGAACCTTAGAAGATTTAAGGGCAATTAATACCAAAGATGGGCAATCTACCGAGTGGAGTATATAAAAAGGCATGAGTACTATAAAAATGTAACTAATGTCCACAGAGTATTGTCTATAGTCATGTCCTAACACATACTAACATCAAAGTATAAGAAGTTCTGTTGCCCGGGATACTGAAAATAATGCTTAGAAAAAAGGTAATACTGAGAAGACTAGAATTTGGCAACATGTAATCATGGTATGGGTGGAACCTCCCTTGTCTTCTCTGTGTTATTTCTACCCAATCCCCACAGCTGAAAATCATAAGTCTAATGGTTTTTATCTATAGAGGTCTACATAGACCTTGAGGTATTTGATTCAAAATATGCTTCCCACATAAGGGACCTTGGAATTATGTCTATAATGGCAATTATTTTTCTCACCACCTATTACAAAAACTATCAAAAGATAACTTTTGCCCCGAGAGAAGAGAACAATGTCTGTCTCCTAGGGCCAGGCCAGATAATTTTTCTGGTGTTCTGAAGTGTTATGCTAAGTTCAACAGTCTACCACTCAACAACACCATGGTGCTGAAGTGAAGGACTTAGTTCTTTTCCCATAGGGTAGTCCAGGCTATTGTGAGACAGAAGTTTGTGTTTCCCTACATCCTTCTCCCTACCCCATAGATAACCAAGCATGAAAAAGGAGAATAGGCAAAGCATGGCAGTCACACTTTTATAGACAGGGTATAAAATTCAGTTAAAGAGAGGACAATATCTTCAGTAGGCATCTGTGAAAAAATAATAGATAAAAGTAAAAGTGACAAAAAATATGGAACAGACTGGGAAAATAAAGAGAAAGCTATATGGAAAGAAGAAACAGAGTCCATTTACAAAGGGAGAAAAATGATATTAAAGTAGATATTATCTGACCCATTCCCCACCTCCACTTCAGCAACCTAAAAAAACTCAGCCCTTGTTATTGAAAAGATCAGACACAGCCACAATGTGGATACTTTGGTACCTCATCCCTGATAAGTTTCAGTATCAAAGTGTTTTGTTTCATTTCTAAAATAAAAACTGAGACACTAATCTTCAAAACTACTCTTCCCCTGACTGTACAAAAATTTTGTAGTTTACCTAGTATAACCTAAATAACTTAAATTTTTAAAAGGGAAAGTTTGTATGAATACATTCCTATGCATATTTCTCCCATTTTTTATGAGTGATTTTAGAAAGAAAAAAGTAGTGGTAACTAAAAATGGCATTCTGTGTTTTTTTTTTTTTTGAGAAAATTTTATTTTATAAGGGCTGACTTGACTATTTTGGCATATACCAAATATGAGATAAAAACCATCTATCAAAACCGGTAATAAAAATAATTTTCCAGTACTACAATTACATAGTCTGAATTTAGGTTAATTTTTTATAACCATTTAAAAAATGGATTACATTGGAAGCATGTTTTCATGAAAATTACAATACTTTTGACTTTGGTTAACTTAGTCTATAACTTAAGAGCATGCTGGAGAAAGAGAAGTGTTTAAATTTTTAGATTTCCATCCATCTAGTCATTTGATTCTCAAAACAATTACAGCAAGTCCTATTGCATTTATATTAATAATAAACTGAAATGAAATGTAAATTTTCAATTTAAAATAAAATCTGCCTATGCAGCAACTGAAGTGGTAGAGGTACATGTGTGAGCCAATTAGAACCAAATGAGAAGCCCAGCAGATAGCATATATAAAATATGAGGAATTAAAAAGAGAAAAATTAAGACTGCTTAGCAGAAAGGAACTATACAATTATTTTATCCCCAAAGGAATGCCAGTTTTTAACAAAATAAATAAAACATTTCCTATCTACTTTAACCTATAGATGAGGAACACAGTTAGCCAGTAAGAGCAAATGGTTCATGCAACTATGTCAACAAGAAAGGAAAACAATATTGCACTAAAAGGGAACCTTGTAGGAGTAATCCACTTCTTTCATTGACTCAAAGTAACCAGCCACTTCCTGTATGCATTGGCATACCTAGCTTGCTCTACATCCCGGCAAGTGGATAATACTTGATCAATGAACCTGTGCTCCATTTCTAGGCCTAGGGAGTCTGAAGCTGGGGTCCGCTTTAGGCGCTTGGTTTCCTGGGAATAACCTTGCTTGCTAGAGTCATTCAGTCCATCCACTTCCATTGCCTGAGACAGCTGGGGGCCTGCTGGGATGAGGTGCAAATCATTCAAAGTTCCCCCAGGACTGTCTGTAGGTGATAGCTGGGTCATGCTCTGAGAAAACCTACCATTTAAATGATGCTGAAGGTAGAAAACATGCCGCCTGTAATAAGGGTAGAAGAGGTGGAGAAAATAAAGAAAATCACACCACAAAGTCAAGTTTTTCAGGGGAAAAAAAAGGTGATTAACTTCCAAGTACATAGGATTCAGTGCATTGCCCACTTCATATCTGGGGGAAGGAGGAAAAATAGTTGAGATGAAGTCTCTGGGTTTTGCACAAAGTTTTCAAACCTAGCTTACTGGTTTGTGAGAAAGAATGTTATTCTAAAGGTTTTTCAGTAAGCATTTAAAAGACAATGGCTTGGAGTTGTTACTCTGCTAACTCTTATCATGAAATTAGAAGTAGATCTTAGCCCAATATTTGCCATAAATTATTATATAAAAGAAAATAAAAAACTAACGTCATTGATATCTTAGAAGAAAGTGACCCAGAAACAAGAGGGATTAAATAGTACCTTCAGAGGCTTAGTCCAAGGCTTCTACCCAGTCCTTTCTAAAATGAGAATAACACATCTGCTGCCATTGGTCTTATGACCTAGACATGTGATGAACTTTCTCCTAAATCCATCACTATAGTCTTACACACCCACATGCAGTGCATAAGACTCTGAACAAGACACTGAAATATGTAATTCCTATTTTCCCTCTAAGGACAATTCTCCTGCCCCAAGAATCACCTGGAATTGTGTATTAAAAATGAAAATGCCTGTGCTGACTCTCCAAAAACTTTTCAGTGGGAGGTACATCTGCTGTACACAGTATGATGAATTACATAGGTTCTAAATTGTTGTATCTCTTCATTCATATTAGCAACTCCAAGTTCTTGAAAGATATTCTGATACATTTTCCCTGAATATTCTGGATTTGATAGGGAACATATGTACCCATTTTTATGGAGGGTAAAACTTAAAGAACAGATAAGCTGCCTAATGGAAATTGTGTCAGTAGTAGAAAACCAGCCTGAATAATATATAGGTCATTCCAACTTTTTTTGCCCTTCTTCCTTCTCCCTAACTCCAATTTTAACTTTTCTAAAAATAAAGTTCTGCACTGTTAATCTAGCTAGCTCTCAGATATACGTATCATTTTTGAAATCTCCAGAGATTTTAAAGTCTTGCTATTAATATGCCTAAATAATTTTCTATCCATCAAGGTGGCAAAAAAGGACAGGTTGTCTTCTTTTGAATGTACTTAGCATGGATTAACAGCTAACCAGATCCTCTAAAGAAGGCAAAAAGAAAGACTAGATTGGGCAGTAGGGGGCAAGGGGAGGGGAACACATGGGATGGGACGGGACTCAATAACTTAAGAAATAGTCAGTTTTTAAAAAATATCTGCTAGTGTTGAGCATAGGCAAATCTTTTGTTTATAAATTTAATCCTATGGTCTGAAGAATTTGTATTTATGAAGATGGAGATGCCTCCAAATGGAGGAAGATCCAAAATAAATGAAGCCAAGGTATTCACTTATCTGGACTTCATTCTAATATGAAATTGACCCTGTTGTTAAGTGCACTTAAAACTCAGGTTAAAATATTGCTAACAATTTGCTTAAATAAATAAAAAGCAGCAAATGATTATACTCAAGGTAAGTTAATTTGCAGACCATTTGGGTAGAAAAAAAAAATAAAGCTTTCCTTTCTGTCAGTGTCTACTCAATTGTGCCAATCCTGACTGTGTTTTTCTTCTCTTAAAAACAGGCGTTAGCATTCGACCCCCAGATCTGCTCAGTATCAGGATCTCCGAAGAGCAGGCAAATGTGTATCTGTTTTTCTTTTTAGCTTTTCTTAAACTTTGGAAGTAACACAGGTTATTCTGTTGCACAGTTACGGCTGAACGCCGCCATCCTAGGTAAAGATTTGTGGAAGAAATTGCATATTAATAAAGATGATGATATAGTGAACACAAACCCTTCCTCATTCACTCAAGTAAAGATGATTACATTTACCCAACTGGTCAGAAATCAGATACAATACTTTCTGCAGTTCTCTTAATGACATGCCCAGTTTTACATGGGAAATGGATTTTCCCCTTTTCTTACCTATGACACCAAAGGGTTTCATGTCCTGGGTAGGAATCAATAAGATCTGTGCTGAATTCTACTTCTTCTTCTAGAAGATGAGGAAGATTTATTCTTGATTCTTCTGTTGAAGGTGTTGCTTCTTCATCTTTTGGAAGAACAAGGACTGGCTCACTTTTTGAAAAGTTTTGCTCCAAGACAGAAGTGTCTATCACAGTTTGACTAATCAAAGACTTTAACAAAAACTGACGGTAGTGAAATCCACTGTGGTCTGAAACATGCATGGATGCCCAATGTTTAGTAGAAGACAGTTCATCAAGAAGAATCTTGAAGGAAGAAGAAAGGGGAAGTGAAAAGAGGAACTTCCACAGGTTCTTTCTCAGTTTACACCTCTGACTTCTCTTTGATTTGTTCCCTATTTTTTGTTGACAATGCCATTCTCAACAATATTATGTAGACAATATCTAGCACAGTGCTGTCACTTAATACATGCTAGTTTCCCCTTTCCTTTTCCTTATAAAGTGGCAGGGAGATTTAAGAACAAAACAGCAACAAAAAACCCCAAAAATTTTATGGACTTTTCATTTTTCCTCTTGACCTAGAATAATCACATTCTGATTCGCACACAAGAAAAGCCAAATTCTAAAATAATGATGATTTAGGGTCTTCATTTACAAGTAATGCTAATGTAGAAGGAAAAATTAAACTCAGATGTTACTTTGTAACATCTTTCTAATATTACATTTAATCTGCACTATTTCTAACTTGTATGGATATGCACTATAGTTGTTCATCAACAGAATCACAGTAATCATTTTTCTTCACTGTAAGTGTCATGAGGGCAGAGACCACGTCTGTTTTGTCCACTACTTAATTCTAGGAGGTAAGCACAAAACCATGCTGAGTGAGTAATTTTCACACTTGTCCTAAAATCACTTACAACCAATGCTAAATGAGCTTTACAGATTAAATAAAATTTAGCAGTAAATTGTTCAAATCTTTGTATTATGAATCCTGCAAGAATTTCAAATGGAATGTTAAAAGTTTATGACAAAATTGTTTGGCATTGTCTTGGACAGATGGCAAACATAAATGAGTTTTGATCACAGGCCTATCATGTTCTATCAGAGATTTTCAGACCAGCTAAGGAAAACACTATACAGTTGTGAACAGGGAACACCACAAGGAGCACTATGCCAAATCATGGCTTCCCCTATTTGTCAAGGGTCCCCTGCAAACTTTTTTTTCTATACCAGGATCCCCTCCCAACTTCTCAATACCCTCTTTTCTTCCCTTGAAGAAATCTTTCCCTCTTCTGAACATCCACAGTACTGTGTGTTCCACCATATACAATTTTTTGGTACACATCTTCATTCTTACTAAATTTTATAGGTGTTTTATTTTTAATTAAAAAAAAAACCTGCAAGATATTTATTCATTTCTAGTTGATGTTTCCATCCTTCTATGGCTACCTGGCATCAGAGGAGATACATAATATTTTATTTACAATTTAATGAAGGAAGTGACAATTACAAAAGACTAAGATAATTTCTAGCCAGGATAGATAACCAATCAGTGAAATGTTTTAAACATCACTTTTATGATTTTTTTCTTTCCTTCCCGTTTTTTCTGAGGGGAAAGGGGGAACCAGGATCTTCCTATGGAGTCCAGGCTGGCCTAGGATTTGAGACTCTCCTGTCTCAGCTTCCCAAGTGCTGAGACTCTTTAAGTTAATTGAGTTCATTCACAGTCACCAACATTTACTCAGAGATTACAGCTGGCAAGTCTCTGAGAAATAGAAAGCAAGATCATTTATCTGATGTTAAAAGTTAGCATTAAATGAAATTCCACCTAAAAAAATTAATTTTAACATTACATTTTTAAAGAATTAGTCTGCAGAATGTTTATAGTACAGCAGCATTTACTCTGAATATGGCTTCTTAGCGTGAATTGAAAAACAGTATACCACTTATTTAAAGTAACTGGTTTAACATGAAAAACCTTTAAATTATTTCTCACTGAATATTTCTCTGCAACAAAGAAACCACAATTTTAAAAAATTTCTTAAATTTTTTGCAGTACTGTGGTTTGAACTTAAGACTTCATGCTTGCTAGGCAGGCACTCTACCACTTGAGCCACTTCACCAGTAAAATTTGTTTAATTTGGGGAAAAAATAGCACATACATGAAAGATTTCAATAAAACCAATTTAATTTCTCAAAAAATAATCTTAACACTTTTTAAGAAAAAAATCTATATTCTTTTCCCTAAGATACATAAGGATGCATATTAAACCAAAGAATAAACTTCAAAAGGAATTTCAGGGCACTTTTTTAATATAAGAAAAAGGTATATAGCTATAGACAATGATTTTTTTTTTAAAAGACAGCAATTACTTTTAAGTGATTTTAAAGATGGCTTATAAGGGGCTGATAAAATGAATGCCTTTATATGATGTATCTTAAATGTCCTTATTGTTTTCCAATTTCCATATAAAAATGAATGAGTAAGTAAAGTGTAAGAAAAGTACAGAAGCAGGACTATGAAACAGACAACATATTTAAAATATATACACTATCAGTACTAATAAATTTTTAAAAAATAACATTTGGCTTTTCTTGTGATTACAAAAGTGATAAAAATGATCATTACAGAAGTCCTGTAGTATGGAAGAACATTAAAAAAATTACTCATTATCCTAACAGCTACTGTCACTATTCTTAACACTCACGTAGATAATCTTTCAGGTTTTCTTTCTATGTATGCATAAAAACCCACTTTATTTTAAATACAGATTTCAAACAAACTTTGTACTCATTTTATTCCACTTCAATAATATATTCTATGGCATTAAATATTACTTTATAACATAATTAACTGTTGCATAATATTTTATCCTAAAGATAATTTATTTCCCTATTTGCATTTCATTCCTATATAAGTAAAATTCTTACACATAAAACTATGTGCATATCTATTTATTTAGGAAAAATTTTCTAGAAGTATACTTGCTAAAACAAAGAGAGGAACTTTCTAAGATTCTTGATACTGTCAATGTACCGAGGATATATAATTTATACTTTTTTTGGAAATACATGTTAGTATCTATTTCATAAACTTCTCATGAGTATTTAAATCGTTCCCAACTTAATAAAGTAAAAAGATCATGGTTTATTTTAATTTATATTTCCTTACTTATCATGAAAGCTAAGTGTTTCTTATATGTTTACTTCTCCTTTGTTTTCTGTTTTATGAAATTAATTCTCTTCATTCATGAATTGCCTAAGTTACTATTTGTAATAGTCATTTTCTTATGGCTTTTAAAGGTATTTACATCCTAAAGAGATATTAAAACTGTACTGATCATATATGTTATAAATTTTTTCTCAAAATATTATTGCAAATGACTTTTTAATCTTTTTTCCCAGGTTTGTTGAGATACAGTTGACAAATAAAAAATGTAAATGCTTATGATGTAAATGTCTTTATGTGTACCTTGTAAAATTATCATCACAATCAAGCTAAAATACCTATCACCTCTCATAGCTAACATTTTCTTTTTTATGGGAGAGCCATGTAAAATCTACCCTCAGCAAATTTTAAGTATACAATGCATTAACTATGGTCACTGTAGTGATCACTTGGTCTTTAGAACTTACATGCTGTCTAACTGAAACTTTGTAACCCACGAGCAGCTTCCTATTTCTCACCCCACCTCTACTTTTCCAACTGCCATTCTAGTCTTCGCTTGTATGAATTCAAATTCCACAAATAAGTGAAAGCAGATGATGTTTGCCTGGCTTATTTCACTTAACATAAAGTCCTCCGGCCTCTCTTCTAATACTGTTTCCTAAGAAGCCAGCTTTAGAAATTGAAGAATCTTTCTGTATTATGTGAAATGCCACATTTACCATAAGTGAAATTTATACATGTTATGGATTGGAATTTATGTCTGGGCTTTATAATTTTTTTTCATTATTGAGTCTATATTTGCCATAGCATTGTAGTTTTAATTTCTATGTTAGCATACTTACATGTCTAATGATAGGGTTTTTTTTTTTTATAAATTCTAAGCTATTTTTGAAGCTTTATTCTTTCTAATGAACTCAGAAATCAATTCTTGAAGTTGTGTAGCCATCACTGCTGCCTAATTTCAAACATTTCATCACCACCCTCCCCCCAACCCCATTTCTAATTCCTTCCTTGCAAGCCTATTCTGGTCTTATCAAATAAATGGAACCATAAAGGCCTTTCCAATCAGCATAATGCTTCAAGGCTCATCCACGTTACAGGATGTATCAGTGTTTCCTGATTATAGTCAATATTCCATTCTGTGAATCTAAGATATTTTGTTTTCCTTTTCTCCAGTGACAGACATTTGTGTTGTTACCATGTTTTGGCTATTTAGAATAATGTGGTTATTAACATTCTCACACAAATTTTGGTATGAACATGTTTCCAATTTTCCTGGATGATATAACTAGGCATAGAATAGCTAGAGTAGGGTCATAAGGAGCAAAATTTCTTCTTTTTAAGAATCCAACATGGGCTAGTAGAGAATCTCAAGTGGTAGGCGTGCCTGCCCAGCAAGTGTGAGGCCCTGAGTTCAAACCCTGATACTGCAAAAAAATTAAAAAAAAAAAAAAAAAAGAAGGCAATCTATTAAACATTTTCTTCATACACAGTTTGTTTTTTAAGGAAATGCTAAAGCATTTTCCATACTGACTGCACCAATTTATATTCCTATCAATCACATATAAGGTCTACTGATTTCTCCATACCCTGAGCAACACTTGTTATTGTCTGTCATTATTCAGCCATTCTAGCTAGTTTGAAACAGTATTTTACTCACTGTGATTTTGATTTGTATTTCCGTAATGGTTAATGATGTCCAATGTGTTTCATGTCCTTATGGGCCATTTATATATCTTTTCTGAAGAAATTTCCCCATGTGTTTATTTCAGGTGATAGTCTAGATCAACTTTTAATTGGCTAGTAGCAATAAATTCTGCTTTGCATCATACCTATCCTCAAAAATAGGATTTTAAAATTTATTTAAATACATATTCATTTAAGCTTATGAATATCACAGAGAAACATAAAATAGAAAATTCAAGTCTCATGATTACACCCCATGGCACTATTAACCATTCCTTACTAACATTTTTTCTGACTAAAAACCAAACACATCTGAAACACTATATATACACTTATGTATCTGCTGAGCATTTACTATATGCTAAGCACTGCTCCAAATACTGTACAGTGTTTGCGTCTCCTTCAACTCTAACATACTAAAACTATATGAAGTGCATCCCATGTTTATTTTTATACCCTATAGTGAACTTTTCTTTAAATAATCTTCTAGCGTACAATTTTTAGTAGGTCCAAATGTTCCAATTTGTGGTTGACTATAATGTAACTAAACAGTTTAACTCACTACTGGAAGGTTAGACTCTTTCTAGTTTTTCACAATTATAAATGCTTTTATACAGCAAACCTTCATGTTTAATGTAACAGCCAGTATTGAGCACTTACAGTAAGACAACAGTCACTTTATGAGAATCTTTCCATTCAATGTGCATCACTTGATGAGACAGGAACTATCATCCTTTTCATCTTACAGATGAGGAGGGTGAAGGTTAGAGAGGCTAGGCAACTTCCTGGAGGCTACTAAGCAAACTGGTGGTAGAGCCAGAATGCAAATTATGTCTGTATGACCACAGACCATAGAGTGGAGCCTTTAATCATTTTACAATATTAATTGTATCTCCTATTATTATTTTCTTTTTGTTCTGCAGTACTGGGGTTTGAACTCAGGGCTTCACACTTGCTAGGCAGTTGGTCTACCACATGAGCCATACCCCTTGCCCTTTTTGCTTTAATTATTTTTTAGATAGGGTGTAAAGTTTTTGCCCAGGACCAGTCTTGGATTGTGATCCTCCTTCCTCTGCCTCCCAGTAGCTGGGATCACAGGCACACACTGCCGTCCCAATTTATTAGTGTAGATGGGTTCTTGCTAGCTTTTTGCCCCAAGGTGGGCCTTGAACCATGTTCTTCCAATCTCTGCCTCCTAACTAGCTGGGATTACAGACATGAGCCACAGCACCTGACTCTCATTACTTAAGATGGATTCCTAGAAGTAGAACTGTTACAGATAATACTGCCCCCCAACTCTTTAAAAATCTAGTGAATGCTGCCACATTGCCCTTTAGTAAGAGTCTAATAATTTTTACAGTGCTCATTTTCATATACTTACCAATACTAGATACTAGCACACTTTAAAAAGTTGTTTTCAATTTTCTAAGCAAAATAATGCCAGCTCACTTTACACATATTTTCCAGTTGCTATGGATGATTGGTGTTTTTGTGATTACTTCGTCTCATAAACAAAGCATAAAATGCATTCTCCTAGCTGGGCCCAATGGCTTTTAACAACAGAAAGGAGATTTTGAAAATTCAGCACTCTTTATTGAAAACAGCGAGAGTCTAAGAGTGTGGTGGTGACAGAAGAATGGCAATTCCCTCTAAAGGCAGGTCAAGGAAGGCTAGCAACATGTGAGCCAAGGAAGAGACCCCAGGCAGCTAAGTCAACATCCCACCAAAATTAGCCGTCATCTTTAACATCAAATGGTCTCAAGAAACCAAGAATTTCACCTTGACTTCTTATTCCTGATTTTATGGGAATGCCACTTGAAAAGGCCCACATTGTGGCAAGAAAGTTTCCAAAGAGCTCTCAGTTCACTTGGGCTTTCATTTTCTTCTAAGTCCAAGCCCTACAAATGCCCTACCCCATATGAAGTAGTAGAGCTGAGATGACCAGCTCTATAGCACTCCACATCCCTGACTACCCACCAGATAAAACTTGTCTTCATGCCTCAGAGTCAGACAGCTGTTTCCACTGAGCCCTGATGGGATGAAGAGCCATTTCCCATGTCACCACATATAATTTTACCTAACCTTTTTATCTGAGGAAGAACAGAGAGAGGAACTAAAATTTTGTGAGTCTTTATCAAGTGCTCCGTAGTTTTATCACATTAACTAAGGTAATTCTCACAAAAAAATCCTCGCAGTGACAATGGAGTCCTTATTTTTTAAATGAAAATACTGAATACTTACTTTCCACATATAGCTAGTAGAAAGAGAATCTGCACTTGGGCAGGTGTATTTCTAAGACTTTGTTCTTTCTATTCCTCTCTCCTGAAACTCACAGCCACATAAACTGAAAGGGAAAGGGCTATTCTTCCAGATTGTTGGCCTAAAATCCTGTGGAAATAAAAACTGCATTTGTCCTGGCTAGGAAACAAAGAAGGGAAAGGGAGCCTGGGAAGGGAGAACATGTAATAAGCTAAAATTACACAAAACTTTTCCATGAATCTAAAAACATCAGTTGGGCACTCTAACCTTCAACTTAGCTTCTTTTAATGGTCCCAAGCTAGGGAAGCTTCTCAAAAAAAAAAAAAAAAAAAAAAAATCACCCTACATTCTTAGGGCATTATAATACCATAAGAAGAAAGGAAAAAAAATGGAGACATGTAATACATAAAAAGAAGTAAAATGGATCCTGGTTCTCATTCTGATGGATGAGAACCATCAGTTTCATCACAGTAATAATCCAACTGATCCAACTGTGACTAAGGCTAAGCCAATAAAATGCTCTGGAAACTTCTATGTTTTAATTTCTAAACTGAAAAGACTAGGCTGTGAGAGTTTATTACCTGACTATGCATCGAAATAAGCCCCTGTACCTATGAAAAATCTTATTTGTAGATCCCATCCTCACTCCCGACTTAGTAGGCGTGGGCAGAGACCTAGAATGTCGAGGTAGTTTACAGGCTCTGCCAAATTTGGGAATACTTGAGTGAGATCTGTCCCTGTTCCCTTCTCCCTCCCTTCCAGAAGAAACTATAAAAAGATGGCCAGCTAATTCAGCTCAGTGTCACATATCCAGAGACTAACAGGAAATAATTCCAATTCTAAAAGGCTTAATAGTCTCTTCTTGTTTCAGGGCAAAAAGAGTTGTGTTTCGTCTTTCCAACTGGTTCAACTGCCTTTGGTCTACCAATGTACTACCACAGGTAGTACCACAAACCTTACTGATGGGCAACAAAAACCCTTTCATAATTGCCAGGGTTTGTCTGGAGGTGTCAACTATCATGATCCTCTCAGGCTGCTGGAACATTACTTCCTCTGTTCTACTCCTTTGGAGCTCTTTGGAGGATGAATTACTACCAGCTGATTTAAAAGGCAGAAAGGTGATTTGCTCAGACACTGAGAAATGGCCCCACCTTGACATCTAGCTTGGCCAGGTGTTGTAAAACCCAGATTCGATGGGACCAGGCATTATAGTTGCTTGGATATCTCCCAGCTGCTTCACCACAGACTTCCATCTCTTCTTGTATTAGTCGCTGTGTCCTCTCAGCAGGAATTGTTCCCAAGTTTCCTTTGGGCACAAAGGAAGGTAAGGAAGTTTCCTGAATTAGCTGTTGTAGCACCCACCGCCTGTTAAGGTAGCATGTGGGAAAAGAGGAGGAGGAAAGAACATAAGCCAGGAAGGAAAACAAACAGTTTTCTCTATTCTTAATTTAATTTCCATTCATAGATAACAGGAAATAATACCTATATACAAACGCAGTTTGAGGGAGGTAAGGAGGAGCTACTGCTTGTTGCTTGTGGGGAGAATTAAATTTAGCAACAAGAATGAAAGGGAAGCCAGGCACCAGTGGCTCACACCTGTAACCCTAGCTACTCAGGAGGCAGAGCTCAGGAAGATCACAATTCAAACCCAGCCCAGGCAAACAGTTCCGTGAGCCCTATCATGAAAAACCCTTCACAAAAAAGGGCTGGTGGAGAGCTCAAGGTGTAGACCCTGAGTTCAACCCACAGTATTGCCAAAAAAATAAAAAAAAAATGAGGAAAAAAGGCAAATAGGAAAGAGATTTTTACAACTTTAAAATCTATTTAAAAAAAAAAAAAAGAGAATGTCATCAGTTCCAAAACAGTAACTCTTAAACTTCATTTGACCAGGAAATATAAAGGCAACTGGTTTTGTATGTGGCAGTCTGGTGGGCGTCACGTCATAGTTCATATCATCAATATGTGCATACCTCACCCTTCATGTATTTGTTTGCAAACAAGAAGCTGCATTTTGAGACAGCTTTCATTAAGCAAAATTTCTATATTATAGCACAAAATCTAGAAGGAAATATAGTTAAAGCATCAAGAAGGTTTTAAACTGTCCTTATTCACAGTTTTTTCTATTTAAGATTTGCATTAGCACAATTTAAATCAAAAGCATTAAAAAAGCATTTTTAACTACTTAATGTCTTCAGTTTATACAAATATTTTCCTCTTATGAAAGCATTCTTTTAGAGTAAAAATTTCCAACCAAAGACATACAAAATTGAGTAAGAAAATTCATTTAGTCATTTTAAAATTGTGAGTTTTTAATTTAATAGCAAAACACTGTTTTTAAAAATGACAGACACCCAATAATTGATGGATGCATATTTAACAGCTCCCTTATGTCACTAGGCTTTTCCAGACTGCCATACACACACATCACGTGACTCCCTGAAATCTACTACCTCAATTTCCAAAAAGGAAGAAAATACAATTCACTATGTGGCTTGGAAGGAGCTGACTTGTTGGACAAAGGCATGATTATAGCTAATACACCTTGAAGTGACCTAAGATTATAAAAATGCCTAGGATTAACCAAAAGTTAAACACTTAGATACAACTAGGGTTTTTGAGAGCCCTTATTTACATTCTGCTATCTCAGATCTTTATCCTAAAAATGCTCTTCGCATTTATGGTCTAAGTAGTTTTAGCTCAGCCTACATCCATTCACTTCAGCTGCCCATATCTTCCTTTAAGAGTTAATTTTAGTAATAACAACCATCAGACCACCATCTTTACCAGGAACACGATCTCATGCATTTAAAAAACCAACTTGTGTATTATAGTTGAGTATCTAAATGCAATCACCTCAACTACAAGAAACAGTTAGTTAACAGCTAACATTTACTAAGTATTCAATATGTGCCAGGCATTGTGGTAGTGTCTGCATGCATTATCTCAAACACTGAACTATTCACTTATGAGATAACTGTAATTATTAATCCCATTTGACCAGTGAGAAACCTGAGACTTGGGAGAGGCTAAATAATTTTCCATGAGCACTTAGGTAGAAACGATAGTTCTTTCAGGTTTAAAGGTAGGTAACCTGCATTTAGAATTCATGCTGTGAACCAACATGCGACCCCACTTCACAAACTGTTTCTTTCTCCAGCCATTCTGAATACTGAGCAAGAATGTGATGCTGTAAATTAATCACACCTGTGAATCCAGGTTTCTGGACTCTTTGGAAACTTAGTTAAGGCCAGTTTTCCCAGATGTAAGTCCTTAATTGGATTTAAAGTACCAGAGAGGATCAGCTCCTTCCTATAAAAGAAAAAAATTAAAACATTATCCTTCTGTTCAAAAAAATCTACATGATTTTTAATATAATCTCATTGTGAAGCAAATTTTTAAGAATTAAAAAATAATAAACTCCAAACTCCAAACCACTGTGGTATATAAAACAATCATAAATGTCATACATAATGACCAAGAATGAATTCTCATCTCAAAAAGACTATTAAGCAGAAACAGAAGCTCTTTCAGTAGCAAAACTTTAAATACTATTTGGGAAAGGGCAAAGGGGTTTTCTGGCCTCTCTCATTTTCAAACATTACATGACATGACAGCAGTATCTATAGGGCAGATCCAATAGTAGTCAAGTATTGCTTTAACTTCCTAAGTATGACCTGATATGGTTTAAGTTCATTACCAAAAAATACACATACAACACAACAAGCACAACATCACTGAAATGTAAGGAGAAATAACATCTGTTGAACTATTACTCTAACAAAATTATTATTTTGTTTTTTTTGGAGGCGATACTGGCATGCATGTGAACTCAAGGCCCTGCGCTTGCTAGGCAGGTACCCTACCACTTGAGCTGTAGCTCCAGCTCTTTTTTGTTTTAGTTATCTTTTTGCGTGGTCTCAAGTTTTTGCCCAGGCTAGCCTCAGACCTCTATCCTTTTACCTATGGCCTATCTATGCTCTCCCAAGTATCTGGGATCACAGTTGCAAACCCCCACACCCAGCTTGTTGCTTGAGATAGGGATCTTGCTAACTTTTTGCCCTGGCTGGCCTCAAACTGCCCTCCTCCCAAGTCTCTGCCTCCTGAACAGCTGGTATTACAGAAGTGAGACAACATTATTTTTGTGTTTGAATTGTCACTTCTGCATTTCACATATTCTAATGTATAATTTCATACCCTTTGGTCATAGATCTTAAGAATTTCTCTACAGTTCTAATACTTTCTGTAATGAACATTTAAGTAATCAAACAGTTTTCATTCAATAGCTGTGTTATATTTTAATGTCCTTTCCCTGTATTGTTATATTTAGGTTGCCTCCAACTTTTTGCTGTTCTAATAACAAAAAATGTTGGGGGAAAAGCAACTTTGTATTCATGACTTCTGTACTACTCCTTAACTAGGATTTTTCCAAAGAGGTATTACCAAGTAAAATACTTTGCATGACCTTGTTATTTTGCAATGTAAAAACAGAAGTAATAGTCATTTAAGGTTTTTGCTGTTTTACGCTCATCAAGCCCAATGGAAACTTAATGTAATTAAAAAGAATGTCACAGAGCTTGCTACTTATCTCAGTAAATATAATTTACATTTAGTTTCTCAAATAATTTTTGATAATAGATGCTAGTATTACTCCTTATATTCCCAATTCTCAAAGTATCTATATTTTATAACAAAAGCAGATTAATGAATTTAATATTCATGAATCTTAAAATCTCCTTCTTATGGTAGAGCTCATTATTCTAAGGAAGTTTAAGCTGGACAAAACCAGAGTCCATCTCTTATACTTCCTGAACACTACATTTTCTTTCCAGCAGCAACATATTATTTCTAAATATAAGAAAAATGTGTTTTTTAAATGAAAACAGTGATAATACTTGCATTTTATAATTGTTTTAAAGTAACTTTCTAAAATAATTTGCAGTGACACCCAGAAGATTTACAATCACTTTAATGAATGGATTTATTGACTATTTTCCTTTCAACATAGAGTAAACCTATTTATTAAAAATATTTAATGCCATGGCCAATTGATTTGATGGTTTTTCTTTTGAAATCAGTTAACATTTTCTTTACATAAATAGGAATACCATCAAAGTAGAAAGAGGCAACATATTGTTCTGTTTTATTTTTGAAGACAGGCTTGCTATACAGCCCAGGCTGACCTTGAACTCTTGACCCTCCTGCCTCTGCCTCCCAAATGCTGGGATTATAGATATTCAGGTGAGGCACATTAAAGTCTGAAAAACCTACCGCTGTAGAGAATGTATGTGATTAAGCTTAATTTCTATTTACTAGATGTAGGACCGGTCCTTATTTACAGCTGCTTCCTTTATTGCCATTTATGCCAATACATAAGGGGAGGTAACAAAGATTTTCTTCAGAAAAGAAGTCACTTTATAACTTAGTCTTTACAAGGTATCTCTCTTAATTTATTCTGAATAACAAAGTAGTATTTGGGAAAGACATCTTAACCTGAAACAACCTCAATTAATGGTATGTACATAAGAATATTTAAAAAGATCACCTGACTAAATCATAAAAAAAGGCAAATTTTAAGTATCAATTTAATAAACATTCCTGAGGCCAAGACTGACCATCTATAAGTGTTGGGTACTGTCATAAACAAGTTTTTTAAAGATCACCTTAGAAAGAAATATGGTAAATAATTAAGTTATGGCAATCACATAACCTAGAGATATAGTAAGAAAAATTTAACTGTTCTAATGATATCAGATTCAAACAGAAACCTGGCTGAAGATAAAATTTCTAGTCTCACATGGATACAAAAAGTGTTACAACTCAATCAACTTAGATATAACATGATGGGATCAGGAAAACTAATAGGTAACTGAAAAAAAAATAGTTCTTCTGATGACAAAGTCAATGATGTAAGTTATGTGAGGCATTTCAAAAAATTGATTAATAGAAGATAAGTAGGAAAATGAAGTATTTATAAATTAATTCACCTCACGTGTCACTTTAAAGGTATATAACTAAGTTGAGATATATATACACACACACATATATATACATGTGTTTGGGGGGCAAGGTCTGTACTGGAGGATTGAACTCTGGGCCTTGTACTTGCTAGGCAAGTGCTCTACCACTTGAGCCACACCCTCAGTCCTTGTTGCTTTTAGTTTTTGAGACTGGGTGTCATGCTAACTTTGCTTGAGTTGGCTGGGATTACATATGTGTACCACCACACCTGGCCCTGAAATATTTTAAGAAGGCATTTAGTTATTTTATGTACATCCCCTAGAAGCTTACATGGTGATATTAGCTTAATTTTTCTTTTAATTGGATAAGTGAGGTGCCACCTTAAATCTGAGGAGGCTATATTTTCAGGCTTACTGAAAGTCTTGCTTCTGTTTTCATGCTACAATTCTCACGTGGTATACTGCTAACAGAGGAAGAAGAAAGGAAGTCAGGAACATCAAATAAACATGGAGAATATGAATTAGGAAGGGAAAAAATTTCTGTATTGATTCAGCATTAGAGAGCAGGGTTGGTGAGGAACAGTGCCATGCTATATATATATACAACCGTGTTGTAGGAAGAAATTAATTAAATCAGGGCAGCTTTTTTAAAAAAGACAACTGAAGGCAGTAGGGTAAAGAATATTTTTTGACAGGGCTGGGATGTAGCTTGGTGGTACAGTGCTTGCCTAGCATGGGTGAGGCCCTGGGTTCGATCCCAGCACCAAAAAAGAAAAGACAACCCCCCCCCAAAAAAACAAAACAAACAAAAAAAGAATATTTTTTGAATAAAAACAATTATAAAATAAATGAAGTCTTCCACATAGGAGATTTTTCAAACAATAAATGTTACTTCTTAAAATCTTCACTATATTTTTCATTTGCCAATTAAACAGAGTATATGAAAAAAATCTTAATACCTTCCTTAGTTTACCAAAAGTTCTTTTTCTGTTCTAGGTTCGATCCAGTATCCCATATTGTATTTGGTTGTTATGACTCTTCTTCACTCACATTTATATTGTTTTGATGGCCCTGATACATTTTAAGAGTCTTGGTGAGGTATTTTATATAATGATTTTCTCATGATTATACATGAGTTAGGGGTTTGGGTGAGAAAGACCACAGAAGTAAAATGTCATTTTCACTGCATGTTATTTTTTGAGCACATTCCTTACATTCTGACTCTCTATAAGATGCTCCAGGTCCATCTTGTATACTTGTGTATTTCTCCAAGAAGCCCAATTTCTTTTAATAGAGGTTAAGATACTGGTACTAGGATTTACTTTTGATCTACAGAAACAATTTTCATATGATTTTACAGATAAGAAACTGAGACTTCTCCAAGATCAGTAATTGCAGGTTCCTTACATTAAAGTGTCAGAAACAAACATCAAATCTGCATAACATAAAATTTTAACGAACTATAGAAATGATCCCTGAAAGTATAGTCTTACATAAAATTTTAAATTTAAAAGAACAGGCTATGAGTGAAGAACTTGAATCACTGGTGCCTCATCTCTTAACTATTCTAGCTGCTCAAAGATGTTTTGCCTACTCTAAATTCATAGACTGATGCAAGAATAGGACATTATTATGCAGTCAACCTCTTTTACCAAGTAACTTACCAACTTTCAAAACAAATTCAATGAACAAGTCATTTTTTTTTATTACTAGTGAGATTTTTAACATGTGTATCACTCACTATAATTACAGAGATTAGTTCAAAAACTTATTCTAGAAGGTGGGGCAGGATGGTGGATTAGAAGCATCAACCATTTAACTCATCAGTAAGAATCAGATATACAGGAGAGACAGTATCCTGAAGAAAAAAGAAAAAAAAAGGAAGAGCACAGGGAATCACAGAAGAGATGGCAGGAGAGCAGAAAAGCACAGAGAAACCCAGGCAAAAGAGAAAAGTGGCACAGTTCCAAGCCTGTCCTGGGCTCCCTGGGATAGGGGGTGGAAGCTGAAGAAGCAATCACAAGGTAGCCCAGATTGCCCTGTCAATACACCTAGCAATTCCACCTGCAGGATAAACACAACTTTCTGTAAACCTGGAACCAAGTGTGGGGATCTGGGAGATAGTAACTGCTCCAGTGTGGAAGGCTAGCTTCAGTGAAAAAAGACATTTTATTACTCCCCTTATTTTGGAGGGATATAGCAAGGTGCCATTGTTTGAGACAGAGATACTCTAGGAGCTTGAAAACAAGGAACAATGACGGCTCAGGGAGTCTTAGAACACTCTGCCACATTGTCTGGGTGGGAGATGACCACAAAAGGTGGTCATGGAGAGGGAGGAGCTCTAATATGATC